GCACTTTGCCTAAATCTCCGTCTTTGTCGCACACGACCTGGATAGCACCAGTACCAGAATCCGCTGAAGTGACGCGGCTTGACTAACTGAAAGAGGGTTATCTGAAGTTTTCAGGTAGATTTTGCTCTGTAGAATTTTGTGTATATTCCAGTTTCCCTACCCATCAGTGTTCTAATGATTCTGGGCGTCATTAGTTGCATCCCCTGCACACCATAGGCAGCTGAATTCATCATTTTTCCATGGTAAACCGATTTGTGGCTTTGTAGTCCGTGTTCACTAAACCCTGGTGATATTGTTTGTATACATCTCTCTATTTGTTTCAACACACTCCGGTATCAATAATGAAGAAGATGAGCAGAAACAGCATTCTCCATGTCAAGAGGTTGCACCGCTTGTGGAGCTTCTAGGAAAGCCACAGAGGCGAAAAGGCTACAGGATATATACATTTGTCGGAGCCAGTCGAATGTCTCAGTTCAGCGGATAGACCAACAGGTCAACATCTAACCCAAGCTTCCAATACTTACACGTATTGCAGGACGCTCAACTGCGCTAACCAACAAGGTTAACCATCAGTTGTCTGTAAGCAGCGAACAGTTTGACTTGTCGTCGTACGTCATTTGATCTCTTACTACCAGTCAGGATACCAACTTGACACATTAAAACAAACGCACAGGAATACACGCAACGAAACGAAGTTCTGTTGTTATGCATTGCTACATAAGATGCACCTTGATCTACAGTTTCCCAAACAATCGGTTCGTCAACAACTAATGAAATACATCACGAAACACAAGCACGTTTCGTTGCGTCATTGTGTGTTACCGCCGGTCAGCGATACATGTGTACACGCTCCCGCTCTGTACTGTCATTTGCTTCACTTGTGTTCCTCTTGTATGCACTTGCCGTTGGCTGTGGCTTCAGTGTTTTAGTCGTCTGATTGATCAGGTCGGAACCGTGCTTCTGCTCTAACAGTCTTCACTTTGTCTCACGAATTCACTCTTCCCGGTTCACCACACTAATCACCACTCGCATGGCTACTTTGACGTGCACGAAGTTGTGTTCATGACTTTGCTTGAATGCTGTCACATCCTTCTTCTGCTATTGCTTTACTTGTTGCGCTGTACTTGAACTTCTGTTTCGCTCGTGTAGCCACCACGATCCATATTTCGACTGCAGTGGTGCTTCTCATTGGTTATTTTTGTGAACATGGCAGCTTTATGCGAAACTGGATTACCTCCGCATCCCCAACCGTCCCGGGTTCTATGTTCACAACTACTTTATCCTGAAAATGTACGCCACTGTAGTGGAAGTGCTGTCGCTTGGTCTAACCTTTTGCATTTGTAGACACAGAGACAACCACTTCCGCTATTGTTCACAGTTTTAAAATCTGTAACTATACAAAAGGGCTACTGTTCGAGTTAATTTTTTTTACCTGGAGTGCTTTAAATGTTCTATTGCAAACTGATGTTGGCGGCATCCGGTTTCGCATTCGTCTGTCACTGTGGCCATCCACAGGACGCCTGAGCCTACAGAGGAACCATGGATGGATTGCGCTGCACCACCCACACTTCCGTCCATTCACCCCATGTCCAGTGTAAACCCTAAGGAATAAGACCGGGAGGCATGCGGATGGGAGCCACGTTTCTTCAACGGAGCCGACCCACACTCCTTCACAGGCAAACAGAAACACGCTGTATTTGGGGAATCAAGCGCACACAAGGGGGTGGCTGGACCGTAGTCCCCTCCACACTGAGTGCATGGAACCACTCTTCTAGCCTAGCACGACCACAAGGACCGTGCACCCTATCCCCTCCAGCAACGACCAACTGTCTTCTGGCGCCAGTATGGACGAGATAGTGGGTAACAGACAGGTAGACACCTTGTCAACATGCACATCAAGCGCAGCCACACCGGGGATGTCAAACAACAGCCAATCATTCGAAATGCTAATATCATATAAAAGACATCGAATAAAGTAAACTTATATGACGACCTAAATACTCTCTAACTTAGCATATGGAGTAAATTGGTTATAAGCAAATCCGCGATAAGTACACAATGTCCGGAAGTTATTGAAAAATTACCACGTGGTAAAGTTACGCAAGTTTACCACAATTTGCATGAGCGACGTGTGCAAATTAGGAGAAGACTATCAAGTACGCAGAACCAACCAAATTAAATGGAATGAATTTTATCCGCATTAAAAAGACCTAGTTTAAGTGTAAGTTGATTTAGCCCAACTGCGGTGAAGAAGCATCATGAATGCTACATCAGCCTCAGCATGGGGCACACATACATACATGGTTGGCGTCATCCGGTTTCGCATTCGTCTGTCACTGTGGCCATCCACAGGACGCCTGAGCCTACAGAGGAACCATGGATGGATTGCGCTGCACCACCCACAGCTCCATCCACACACCCCATGTCCAGTGTAAACCCTAAGGAATAAGACCGGGAGGCATGCGGATGGGAGCCACGTTTCATCAACGGAGCCGACCCACACTCCTTCACAGGCAAACAGAAACACGCTGTATTTGGGGAATCAAGCGCACACAAGGGGGTGGCTGGACCGTAGTCCCCTCCACACTGAGTGTATGGAACCACTCTTCTAGCCTAGCACGACCACAAGGACCGTGCACCCTTTCCCCTCCAGCAACAACCAACTGTCTCCTGGAGCCAGTATTCACGTAAATACGATGTCCGTAACCAACGCTTTCTTACACGAAGGCACCCGTACACTCTGGATGAGTTAGAAAGAAACGCGAATATCATCCTATGCATACCGGACAAAGATACCAGAACGGTGCTATTTGGCAGAAAGGATTAATTAGACAAACTCACAAAATTGCCTAACGGTCTTAGGCTTGTATGCACCTTGGGGAAAGAGAACAGACAGAACATTTCTAGAGATGAAGTTTTTAAGTGGTTGTACTAGTTTTTGGAAACAGGATACATTTCACCTACCTTTTATGCGGTTCTGAAACCAAGTGACACGAATAGTCTCAGATCTTTCGGGTTACCGAAAGTTCATAAAACCGGCGCTCTATTTCGCCTTATTTTCTGGTTAAATTGTTCGCCCTACCATGCGCTTGCCTTGTCGAAATTCTTGAGCCGGTAGAACAACAGCTTGAACATTACAGACTTTGGGAAAGTTTTCAATTCATTGAACACATGAGGCATTGCAACATCAATGGGAATATATTACTCTCTCACGACATCAGCGTTCCACTACTTGGGGCGATCGAGTACATATGTAGCCATACAACAAATTCACAAATGAAAATGTGTATCCCACTGCTTTAGCTGAGGAGACTTCCTTTGTGGTGTACCTGGAATGTGCAACTCAAATTTAGTGGTAAGTCCTACCGCCAGTAGAATTGTGTTGTCATGGAATATCTACTCGGTTCATCGTTGGATAACATTTTCATGGTGCAATTAGAGAGCACCAAGCTACAAATGGAGATAAACATCTTTGAATGTTACCATCGTTACATGGATGACATATTTGTTGTGGCTGATGAGCACGTCTTCCTCGATGACATTCTGGACCACTTTAACTAGACCCACTCGGTGATACAGTTCCTCTTTGGAAGGAGAGAGATAATCCTTTGTCGTTTCTCGATCTCCTAGCCAGAAGAACAGACGGCTCCATCTAGCGTCAAGCCCACAGAAACAATACATGGAGTGGACAGTATACAAACTTCCGTAGCTTCCTTCCCCTACGATACAGACGAACTATCTTACATCGAGGGCACTTAAGATCAGCACCGGAGACACGGTTGATGATGAATTCTTGTTCATCTATAATGTGCTGCGTGAAAATTGGCACCTTGTTAGACTTATTTCGGGGAGCATTCAGGAGAAATCCAACCCGGCACCGTTTTAAGGAACCGACACGAAAGAGGACGCGGCCGCGGTACTTTCCGGTAGAAATCTCTCATCTGTATTTCGTTTTACTTTCCCAGCAGCGATCCTGAAATGCACTTTCTCTACAGAACCGCTATTCTGTACACTACTGACCCTGATCCGTTCTATGGTCATTCGCCAGTTCCATCGCGCCTGTGGCCAACGCATGTCGATCGAACTTTGCGGCGCTTGTCCAAGCGCGTCAATGAGCATCGCCCACACTGTTCACGTCAAGGTGGTACTGGAGACAGTAGCAACTCCATTTTGGCTCATCCTGTTGACTGCGCATCAAATAGACTTAGACCGGGCCTTTTTGGTAATCCACAGGATCCTCCAGCTGTAATCGAAAAGCCCGCAACAGCCCGAGCTAGCTGCACTCAGTTGTTACAATCGGCTTTGTGCTCCCAAAGGAAACTATGCAGCTTTCCTGACCAGCGAAATGGGGTGATAGTGAAGCCAGTTGCATTGGATGAAAAAGCGCCGTAAGTTTAGACTGCTTGTCGGTTCACCAACCCGGTCGGCATGTGATCGGTTTCGTTTAAAGTAATCTGCTAAATTGTACTCTCACTACTACTTTCATTATGTGATCGTGCAGACCGGTGGATAAACGACCCTTTGGCACCGTGTATCCTATGCACTCATCATCTTGAAATTGAAAATTGTTTTGGTATTTCGAACATCCGTCGGGAATTCTTATTGCTGCGCATCTTGTCGTAATGAGCCAACGGTTACTTCAGCACAAACCTCGTTCATTTTTAACACTGGGACTGTCTGAAACACGGGCACCTTCAGTTACTTTCACTTCCATCATTTCCTTTCAATGTGCTAAGCATCATTCTCGCTTCATCTCCCCCGGCACTTTCAATGATCTCTTACTTGGCGCACACTGGTATTGAGGCTTATATTTGTGTGTATGTTATATAGGTTCTTCACTACCACTTAAACGATTGAATAAACGTTATATTCCTGGACAGTGCGAGGCACATTCCAACTGTTGCACCATGGTTTAAGAACTTCTCCTTCTAGGCTACCCCTCCTAGTAGTATGTAAACTCATAGCTTGTTAGCCTCACTTTATTCCTATGCCTGTTTTAGGTTTCGCAGACCCACTACCAAGCCTTGAATGATGCCACTTGGTCGGCCGATGGACATTTGGTCGTCACATGTTCCACTGACGGTTATTGTTCTCTTGTCCACTTCGCTCGTGGTGAACTTGGCGCAGTATATCGAGGACCCACTGGTTCTGAAGCCTTGAGATGCTCATCGGCACTACCCAAAAAACCAACAGACTTTGAGCCACCAGTATCTGTCCGTACGGATGAACAATCTACCACAGCGAAATCTGCACTCCTAAACGGATTGCACAATGTTACCATCCAAGACAGCGGTGCCCATAATTGTGTCTCCATTCAGCCTGTATCGCAAACGGGAGAGGACGAGGTCCCTACAACTGGGTAGGCAAGTCACTTCATAAATGCGTGCAACTCACAAGTTCAACATAGGCTGCAGTCCCCGAATCATATAACCTCCAAATTTTTTTAAATTTTCATCGTATATCCGTGTTGCACCTTTCCAGTGTTCCGTCCATCCTCATCGGATAATTGTTCCATGAATTGCTGGGCTGTTCTCCGTATACACACCGGAGTCCTTTTCATGCCTCGTGCACCCGTCTGCATTGGTAGCGTTTCACCGATCTGTAGCGTGAAAATTCGTATACAAGTACTTTAGAAGAAAAGAATAATTTCCTTAACACAAAGGTTTGGTGTCCTATTTCTTGCAATAAACAATTATATTACGTTACTTTACGGAATTTCTACTTTTAAAATTGTTCAATATACATTTAAATAAGAGTACACAATTTGGTGTGTGAACTCAAATAAGTGCTCCCTTTGCGCTGGATGAAAAATCGTAAAAGCGGATATTTTTGATGAGTGAACGGTTGTCAGCTGTAAAGATGTGAGTGTATATGACTACAAACAATCTAATGACCACAAATACTGCGCTCATACAGCCTGAGACTAGAAATTACGGCCGAAAACAAATTTGTCCCTTCTATACAGCATCTCAGGAATCGTTCATTAAAACAAAATTAAATGTTCTCGGTAACTCGAAGTAAAATTAATGCATTAAGCTTTTGCCAACATTCTAACTGTCAGTTAATGTTTTCGCATCAATGATGTTATAAAAAGCCCTTCTTTATATCGATCTGAAATACAGACTGGTAGAACACTACCGTCTGCATTCTTATTATGTTGATCTCTCCTTTACAAGACGTTTAGAATATCTGCGGTAGTTGTAGTAACCGATGCTATCTTTCTGCCGAAATCACAGATTTGCCCCTGCGCAACACTGTTGGTTCGCGTTTATTGGTCGGCCACGCACTCAAAGATCAATTCCGGCTTAACCGGTGCTTCACCTGTCAGTCATCTGCATGCATCTGATGGCTGGGCTTTAAAAACCTAATTGGACCTAGTCTTGTTTTTTTCTGCTGGTCACCACTTCTTTTTTTAAACTTACGTTTTACCTTAAAGCTCTATTTTCCATTTGATTGTAGGTCAATGAAGTCGGTCCCAGGGACCCCCAAGAAACGAAGAGTTCCCTTCACCACCCTGTCTACTGAAAGCGGTGCGCCTTTTCATCTTCCCAAATCACCTTCGGCATCAGCTGTCTCGAGTACTGACTCCCGAAACACAAGTCGTTCTTCAGTTTCTGTTGGAGAGGTCGCTTCTGAGGCAGCGGCAACCAAGTCTCTGGAACGCAAGCGGCGCGTTTCCTTCGTAACTTTGGACTCTCAATCATCAGGTCCGTTTCCCGGATTTCAGGCAAATCATCCTGTCAAATCAGGACAGCCTGTTTCCCAATCCAGAGAGCCCCCAACAAGTCAATTAGACATTCCGGCGGGGGACAATTTACAATCAATCGATGACTAGATGAGCATTTATTCTTACCTGTCTTTTATGAACCTGTTCTGTTATTTTCCTACCTGAAAATCTTTTTAAGCACACGGTTATCCTCTATAAATTTGAAAGGTATTTCCATAATCGTCAAATGAAGTGAAGTCTACCCAATAATTTCTCATTTTTGTCTATACATCGCCTTCGAGTAACAAAAGTTGCACTAGTACATTGTGATCCTGCTTCACAAGTGCGATTTAATAGACATGTACTGGCATCGGGAATGCGGTCGCTTCGCGTTATCTGCAATTTCCTACACCCTCCATGCATGCGGCCAAGTTTGCAGCGACTTTGCAGCCTGTCCAGCCGACCTCATTACAACCACCACCGTCTCCCAGAATGGAGCAACATCATTCTCCTGATAGTTAAGCCTAGCCATTCTGAGTTACGGGGAAAACGTGTTTAACCTTTGTGTGTCTATGATTACACTACGTGAGGTGGGTGGTCACCATTTCGAGCCGCTAACGTAACCAATATCTGCTTGTTCAGTTGTTCACACAGTGGACTAGGCACTCGTTCTCAGACTTTGTGTTAGCTCATATCTATTGGTCCAGACTCCATGGAAGGACAAATTTTTTACAATGGGGTCATATCGTCCTGTCCAATAATTTACAACCGAACAACTATATCCACATGGTCATCGTAGTTATATGGTAATACAACATGGTGCGGAATTTCGGCGGCCTCCATGTTTTCCGCTACTCGGAATTGCTACATAGCTCAAAAGTCCTTGATTTGCGCCAAGTTATCTATCAAGCATTTTACCTTGGGCGTTGTGTTTTTAACTGGGATATTTGGATGCTAACGTTCAGACAAAGTTCCTTCCTTCCAACATGAGACTTTTTCACTGGTGTTTCTCGCTCCTCAAACTTTTCTCCATTCCTTGTCGCATATTCAGTAGCAAAAGATTGCTTCTACTTCCAGCATCTTCACCACCTGGATCGTCTTACACTAGTTCTTCCGATATACATATTCCACGTCATCGGCTGTCAAACGACACCCTTGCTTTCAATGGTCAATGATATTTTACGGATCAAAAGCCGAGGCTTAACATGTCCCGCAGTATGGTGGGTAAGGGTTTTCAAAAGAAAAGGAAAACCACCGAAAACGGTGAACTTTCCAAGGAAAATGTAATCCGTCACGTATGGTTTTTGCTACTGTGCTTGTCCCAGAAAAACGGTTGTGAATTGATATGGTTTGGTTTTCTGAATGTGTGTGTTATGTAATATGTGGTGTAACGCGACTGGCACATTGCCGACACGATATTTAGACATAGTTAAGGTAGGGGCTAAGATAATTGGTTCCGAGAGTGACTTCCTTATATGGCACACACATAGCGAGAAGAAATTCTGTTTATATATTCCAGCCGGCTGTATTGTTCTGCCGGTTTGTGACAGTGGTCTCTCCGTCTGTTGTCATGGCTGAGCTTTAGCAGCCGATAGCATATGTGATTAGGGTTGCTTAAAATCTGATAAATCATAATGTGATCACCATGCAAACGTCCATAGCGTCCAATGAAAATTCCAAAAATACTCAATTCTTGTTCGTATGATAAGTGGTATAGTCCTCTGACATTTTGGTGGATCGACGCTATGGAATTACCAAGACATTGAGATTCCGCTTCAGCCATGGTTGGCTTACTTGAATTACATATTCCACCTGCGGCGTATGTATGCAGAAAGCAGTTGGGGACAAATTGATAAGCCAAAGTGAACAATAGGTCTATTTAAGCGCCCCAAGCTTTTGATGCTAGCACAGATTGCTCCGAGCAACGAAGGTATTCCTGGACCAGTACATAGAGGTTTTTTCCGGCAAACAGTGCTGGAGATCCTGGTCGCCAACTTACAGGTGTGAACCATTTGGTGCCATAGATGGAGTACTCGACATTTAGTCACGCCGAACTAAAGACGATTGTAGAGTGACCACTCGTATGTCTTGCTGAGATCGTTTAAAGTTGTGTGCGATCGCCTGGATCCTTCGTCTTTCGCCAGACTTTGATGTCACCGACTTAAAGCAAACAGTGGGATGTGATTAAGCTCACAAGATCGTTAGGGAAGATCAAGGACAGACGGGGCCCAATACCGAACTGTGTGGCACACTTATATAAGATTTATTAAAAGTTCGCAGACTTTCATTTCCAGAAATCTACGCAAAAGGAAGTTACGGATCCACCCAGGGGGATCACGATTCCATTATCCCTGAAGCTTGGCTAGAAGCATGTGATGGTTCAACCGGTCAAATGCCTTAGGAAAGTCAAAGTCGAGAACATCTTTGCGTGAAACCCATCCAACTCTTGCGCTCACCGCGACTAGATCGATAGACCCGCGTGCACGGCGTATGTCTTTTTGTCTTCTACATTGGACTTCGTGGCTTGACCGTACACATGATCTGAAACGCCGCGGGACCCAGACCTGTCGAGCCATTGTAGAACTGGAGTTCGCTCAACCATCGTGCCTGAGCACACGACCCTAACTGTAACCGCGCTACGCTTTACACAGTGCCTCAGATTCATAGGATCGTTAAATTTTCATTGTTTTATCAACTGCTGACACCGTAGAGGCAACTGACCAACCAATCAGGTCGCGTAGCAATTCATTGGACGTGGACGAACACCTATAGCTGAAGACCCTATTCGCCTGCAACCATAATTCCTCTGCTTATACGAGGGGTCCGTGTGTCGGTTCTGTCTTCCTATACTCATTGTTCCCTATTCGATCTCAGGGGAGATAGGCTGTGTCCTTACAATCCACTTCTTGCTATGGCTACATCCCATATGCCACGAGCACTATTCCTAACCGTTTTATGGTTATTAACTCTAACGGTATCGGGATATTGTGATTCCATCAAGGCCTAAACGTACTCGACAAACAAAGGGTTGTATATATTCCATTCCGCGAACAAAAATAGGAAAAGACATAAAGAAGACGCAGAGCAAAACCGATGGAAACAATGTCTCCAAAAGCGTCACAACTGAATGGTAAGATTAGTTCTCTTGATCTGCAACTTTCTGAAATGAAACAATCACTGTCCTAGCTCATCATACTTGTTGCCGTAAAGTGGACATGAATAGGTGTTAGTGGTGGCACAGTGCATTCCAATGAGTCAGGATACCACGGAGCACATTGCAAAGTTGGCTCGTACTGTTGCTGCAGGGCATTTGCTGCTTCTTTGGCTGTCTGTGTTGGTGCATCCGCTGTCATAAGATGGGGAAATCTCTTATTTCCTTTGTGAAGGTTAATCGCATGCTTGTACAGTAGTTTATGTTTCGAAACAAATCGTACTGTTAAAGCCTGTTGCAAACCTGTCCTCGCTCGCTAGTTGTGTACAATCGTTCAATTCTAGTCAACTAGGCTCTATGCACCCGAGTGTGTGGACAACCTGGATCCTCTAGCTCTTCCAACTCGGGTCGGTTTGGATATTCTCTCTGGAGTGCTCTGCATAGCAGGGGTGCATGCAGAGCAAGGTTGCATTAGCACTGAGGCCTAAAGGAGTATCGATGGCCACCCTCTGAATCATGGGTTCTTCAGTCTACTATACATGGCTTTCTTACCTCTCTGAATCTAGTGGGTGTATATGTGCCCATAAAGTGGGAAACTGGCGACTAGCTCTGGCGGATCTGCTTTAAGTTGTTCTCTGGGGGTAGCTCGGGATTCCGTAGCGTGGATGTTGAAATCGCCGGTGATAAGGATATGGCTGTACCGCTTGTTTATTACGCGCCTCAGTGCGCATGCCAGGTTAAAATACATCTCGGGCGTAGAAAATGCATTGCGGTGAACGACAACCACTAATCAAATGTCGTAGATAGCACCAAATGGAATCTTGCACCATATTGACCGGATCATCCAATGGCTCACATTGGATTTCACTGCGAAAGTAGAGCCACTCCACCCCCTTCACTGGGTCGGACATGACAACGCGATTGTGATGTCATTTATGTTCGGGCGCAACAATGTCTTCGTTATATCAGTGATATCACAGGCCTTTGACATCGGACGGAATCACAGTTTGGAAAGTGCTAACTAGGCGGTGGGCATTAGTTGACATGGATGTCAGAAGCGCTACACAACTTGTCTGAGTGAGTGAATATGCCAACCGATGAAAGACCGGCACGTACTCGTTTTCTGGTGATTTGCCGGTGAACAGAACAACGCCAGGTTTCGATATAGTAATCAGTTCTCGATGGCTACTGCTCAGAGGACTTGGTTTTCTGACTCCCTGTTACATTGAAACCCTGGTGATGCTGCTTGCTCGATGACGTCGGCTGACCGCAGTTCACTAATGACAGTTTTTAAGCCTATTTCCGCAGGTAGTGTGTTGCACAGTTTATGCCAACTACGCATTAAGTTCGCCGCCGTCTATTCGGGCTGAACTACAAGTTTTAATATTCTGGGACCACTCCCTTTATAGTGAGAATGACTGAAGTACGACCACACCTGCAGAAAAACCTTCACGGATGTACCGTCATTTTGCTTTACCCTGCTGGATTCTACTTTTGCTTTGGAGATACTGTGTTATACATGTTTGCTCTGTGTGAATTTTGCACCAATACTTTGCTTTTGGTGTATTTTTCCATCTGTGCGAATTTAGTGGATATTCTCTAAATACTGTCGGAGATCTCACTGACTGGACCAACTGCCGTCTGTGTCCGCCACCTTGGATTTGTTCTACAGCAATCTAACAGGGGTCTGCCAGACCACGAGCTTGACCGACGGCGTTTGGATTCAGCATACCAGTGCAGACGTTGCAACGAATGGCTTCCGCAGATCTAACAGTCACAATGGCACGTACTGGCTGCCCACGGAAAGCTAAGCCCAATGCTTCCGAAATAAACGTTAGTTGTGGCGTAGACAGCTGTGTAAAACTTGTGCGATTCGGAATAGAATGCAGAAACTGCCGAAAATACTTTCATTCTCGATGCGGTCGCCTTAGTCTCCGCCAGATAAAAAAGCTTAATAGTACGACTGATTCTCTCTGGTTCTGCACTGGGTGTACCTCTCTTCCACTCGTCAAATGTATAACTGTGTTGGCGCAAAACTACGATAGGCTGACAAAGATTGTGGAGCAGGCAACAGCCGTGAAAGCTGTCCCATATGAACAAGAC